TACTTCTTCCAAGACAGATTTGTTCATTCTTCTGGCAGTCCATGGTATTTAAAGTATTCTTTGCCAACACCACAATTCAAATGCATGCACTCTTCTTCGTTCTTTATTACTCATTATCCAGCTTTCAGATACAAATGAGTCTATTGGAAATAACCATGGCTTTGGTCAGGTGCACCTTAATCTTCAAAGTAAAAAATAGGCTTCTCTAAACCCTTCACAAATGTCTGGGACTTTAAAGGAATCAAATATTTTGTAAATAGCCTACAGAATACATGACTATAGCTCTTTCTAAGTAAAACACTCAGCACAGTAAGCTCCTAAGTATTCAGGTTGGCTGAACATTGATAAATGCAGAATGTTGATTGTAGTGGTTGGCCTGCTGTGATTTACAAGAAAAATTTCCAAAAAGTTGATTTTGGAGTCATTACAAAATCTTGAGAGCAGGACTTTAGCAAGTTGCTACAATTCCCCAGCACAATTGAAAATAATGCTGTGCTGTATTAAAATGATGACATAAATATTACTTTGAGATTGATTAAAAATTAAAGCAGTTGTAATGAACAGGTACAGTGGGTCTTTCAGACATTATTGAGTGCACATTAGAACCCAAAACTGCAGAATATGAGGAAATTACTTCCATGAATTCTCAAAATTTGTATTTGAACTAAGTTCTTTGAACCAATAGAATTGTATGTAACCAGAACAACTTAATATCCTTAATTTCTTCTAAAAATGCTCTAGAAGGAGGAGCATGCACACACACATAATTTGCACTTCGTGACTGGTTGACAAGGGTAACATTTGATGTAAAGATATGATGATCCCTTCGAGAGGAAACTTCCTTATGATTACTATCATAATTCATTAATTCAGTATATGAAGTGCATAGCTAAGGCTCTCTGCACATGTCATTCGTTTGATGATTTTTGTCAGAGGCAGGATAATTACTGTTTGAAGGACAGAAAAACAATAGGTAGGCCCAAATAGAAAGCTGTTTCCCAAATACCACCCCAGTGCGTACCACTGTATTAGTGAGTGTCATCTCCATTTTTACACTGACTGAGACTATGCGTAACCAAAAAAAATTTAGTTATACATCCAGGTCCTGAATAAAGGAAATTCCTTACTATTACATTATAAGATATTCCAAACATCTTTTGTTATTATTGTGAAAGCTCTGATAGACTGCCTAGGTCACCTTTAAAACTAAAGGACTTAAACCCCAGCTGCTGGGAGAATGGCCAGTAGAAATTGCTTGTTGCCTGGGGTTGAAGAGAGCTTCTTTGTCCAAGCTCACAACTCCTTCCCTGGCAGTCTCATCAATGACTGAACAGGGTGGGTTTATAAAAGCTCAGCCCTTGGCCAGACTAGGACAACTCTGAAGGTTCATCCCAGCTTCAGAATGCCTTGTACGTTGACTGAGGTCTTCACTGAGACTTATTGAATCACAGCTAACTCCTCCCTCTGCCAACCGTTATTCTGTAGCTTCCTTTCCACAGATGTTGAGCCTAAGAGTGCTCCTAATAAAACTCCTGCATGTTAATTTCCTTGTCAGAGTCTGCTCTCCAGACAAGCCAGCCTGCAAGCTAGTGATTGAAGGGTTTGCTGAACGACTATCTTGACGGATAGTTAAGAATTAAGGAGATAGGGCTAATACTCAAGGTTCTGGAACCAGGTTGTAGTGCAAGGAACAGGAGTGCCTAAAATGACCCTAAAGTCTCACTTCCTAAAGAATGAGCTCTCTGGGAATGTCCTTCTCCCTGTCAGAGTGTTGTACCTAGTAGGGGGTGACTGTAATATCCTAAGGCCCTCAAATCCCCAGGGGTTGAATAACAGGTAATCCTAGACAATTCCTGAAAGAGCTTAATCTTCAAATCAGAATCCTTGATAGGGGCACTTTCTCATACCTACCCTGGAAAAAATAGGACAACTGCAAGACAGCTACAATCTAGGACCTCCTTCTCCCTCACTTCCCCAAGTCCCATGTCCAGAAGAACAAGGCCTCTTAAGGCTTCTATGATGGTTGGTGGCTTCTCTTCTCTCACATAGGCTGAAGTTGCCTAAGCTACGCCTTTCTTCATTAAGGTTAAGGTCTACTCCCTCACCTATCCAGTGGTGCTGTGGAATTTATATTCTGCCCTCATGCTTGACAAATGAAGACTAATATAGAACCATCTTTGCACAATAGAGGTGACATAAAGCGAGGAATTCTGCTCAACCTCAGTTACAGGTTTTTGGAGATGTTGGAGAAATTAATGGCCTCTCTGGGGATGGAGACAATACCTTAGGTGAATAGAGATTGTTGGGAAAGGTAGTGGCGTGGTGACCATGGCACGTCAAAGTGTCCCAGAGTCTCAAGAGGGGATAGTCTGGAAAGCTGCAAGTGGCTAGTCAGAGCTGACTACCCAGTGTGGGCATGGCAAGAATTAGGTACTGTAACAATGAGGGCGTTTTCAGTGGTAAGTAAGTAAGTAGCTAAATAAGTAGTAAATAAGCTAAGTAGCAGGAAATGGGAGTGTCCATATCCTAAACAGAGGAGAAGCTGCATCCAAGCTCAGCTTGCCTGGGGCCTATGGTTTCCTCAGCCAGCAGGAAGGACTGCACCTTTCTTAGGAATCCCAGATCTACTGGACCTGTACAGGCAGAGTTCCTAGAAACAGCTGCACCCCAATCCACATAGCTTGACTGCAGAATGGTCTGACAATGTCCCAGAGGCATTTCTAAGGCAGGTATGGTATGTGTTTGGGGTGCCACTGAGCCATTTCTATTAACCATTACAGCTGTGAGAGATCATTCAGCAAGTTCAAAGTAATCTTTACATATATGAGATCCTCCATGGGTCACGACATACTAGATAACCTTACTTGAGTGTAGAAAGAGAAGAAACTGAAAAAAATGACTGAGCACATCATAGACCAATTTTCATCAGTGAAAGTAAGGAAGGTACAGTTGTAATTTTCACATAGTGCCATATGTGCTAAATAAAAGATTAATAAGCTTGACTTGTATTTTGAGTATGGTTAAAAATTTTTAAAAGATGAGTGTCAGATGTTTGGACAGGGACACAATTTCAATGCTTGTCATAGATGAATATTCCGCAGATATACCTCTATGATGTTCCATAGTCCAGGGTTTACTTTGCTTTATTAAGCAAAGGGTACTAATGGAGCCCTGCTCACCTCTCTATGAAATAATGAGAAAATTCCCTTTTCCTCTCCTCTGATCCTGGCCTCATACAGCTCTCTGTCTCCCAGTAATCTGTTCCTTAACCTGAACTATATGACATCATGGAATTTATGCCAGATCCTAGTACAAAACAGGTGAAGGCCTAAATGGGACCCACATTGCCTCACAAAAGATCATCCAATAGTTTTCATGATAATAGCTTACACTGATATTTGGCTTTACCTTTTAATACACATTCACATGCATTAATTTGATGAGACCCATATCAGCCTAGAGAAGTTGAAAAAAGACATCTTACATAATCTACATATTTCAGAAAGAAAAACTGTAACACAGGGTTAGATAAAAAATAATTTCCTTCCCAGATTTGTGAGAAATCTATGCAAAGGCTTGGAACTTGAATCACTTTTACTGACATGTGTAATGAATTACCTTTTTTTCACAGAATAAAATTATATGAAATTTGTGCTATGACAGAAAGGTGTGCAAATATGGTCAGTATAATTATGGACATGCTATAAGTCTTACAAGTTATTTTAAAACTCCTTCTGATAAAAGCTTTAAAGCAGAGAGATCAAATGTTCAGAAGGTTAGATGAATAAGAGGAGGTTGGAGGAAAAGAGAGCTAAAAGAAAATGATGGACAGCAAAGAGTGTACAAGTCTATGTTTGAGATTTTCGAAGCAAGTAGGATCTCCTGTATAGTGCACAGATGTGAGAGCAACTTAGAAAGTTTCCCCAAATATATGGTATGATGTAGCCACCCAGAATATTTTCCATTCCTGGAGAAGACTGTATGTTTCTGTTTCTTTGCTGAAATTCTGGGAAATGGGAACAAAATTTTCAATAAAACAATACTTTCAACAGATGCATGTTCATCAGAAGCCTACTATGCACTAGTCATTGTCTAGGGGCTAATTATAAATAACACATATGTTAAGAAATAGATTAACTAGTGACTCTACACACAATGACAATGACAATGGCTTTTCCAGTCTGGTACTTGCAAGACATTAATAAAGGATGCTTAATCTGAGAATTATACAATGTCCATATTTTTCTATTTACACAGCCTGCATGTAGCTATATCTATGGAAAGAGGATTACTCCATTGAGTCAGTTCTCCTAGGAAAATGATATTTTTTAAAGGAATTAAAATTTAACAAAATATTAAGAAAAATAAATCTTAAAAATAAAGATAAATTGCTTTTCATAGAATCACTGATCCCAAAAAGTATAAGGAAACCCAGAGACTGACTAACTTAATCCTCATATAGCACTGAAATCCCTTCCCCAAAGTTCTGACAACTGTTCATACAAACTGAAGGTAGAGTTTTGTCTGCTTCTTTTGTTTGTACGAAAGTGATCCACTTTAGTGCAAAAACCAAGGCTGCACTCTGGGAAATAATCATCCACAGGGTGCATTTTCTGAGGTATGAAGATGTTTCTGGAAAAACTGGAAAGCCCCCATGTCACCCCCAGCTAGGACTTGCTTATAAAGCAGATGTTTTCTAATTTTAATTTTAGTGAGCTCTCAAATGGATTAGGCTAAATATCTCCAAGCTTTATGCATAATTGCTACAGTAGGTAATTTGTGCCTGTGGTAACAGTAATTTCAAGTTATTAATGAAAATGAAGGATAATTAAAAAACAAGCAAACAAACTCAGGCTGAGGTATAAATATGGTGCATTCACAAGGGAATTTTATCCAAGATTTTATTATTCCATGCTAAAAGACAAAAATTAGGTTGGTGGCAATAATAAGGAAAAGGTACATACCATGCACATCTCATAGTGTATATTTGTTGAACGTACCTGTAACCCTTCAATGGCCAATTTGAGGATAGAAGGGGTAAGTTTGGAGGCTTGTTTGAAGGAAAAATTACTCCAGTCTATAATTAAAATGAAACCATTTATCTGAAGCTCTGCATCTTCAATAAGGACTTCCAGTGACAGCAAGATGGCACGCAAGATGTCTGTGAAGGAGTTCCTACAGCCAGAGCAGAAAAAAGAAATTGTGAATATTTGTAGGTGGTAGCACATTGCATGAAACCTGGCTGGGCTTTTCATACCACTACACAACTGATCCCAGCCTGTAGAGTAGCATCAAATATACCCAGAACTAGACAGGAGTGCATAACAAAGAAGGGCACAGGTATGGCAGGGGTCACTGGGAAGGAGAGGAGGAGAGTGAGTTAGGGTTGGGGATGGTAACTTGGGAGTGAAACAAAAAAATACATGAACTGTTGAATGTAAAATAAATTCTGCTCTATATATTTGCACTCAAAGCACAATTGAAAAAAGAAAGAAAGAAAGAAAACACATTTACTAAATTGCAAAATCCTTTGAGACTCACAGGAAGTAAGTCTTCCTTTAGTTTGACCCCACCATCACCCCAAACTTAATGAGGTATCATTCCTCTATGTCCCCATGGTCGTCTTACTCTGTAGCACCAGTTTCATTTTATAGAAATGGCTTCCTGACTCATTTCTCTTCACTCATTCTCTGCTGTGATCTCACAGGGCTATGCGATCTTTAAGACAGGGACTGGACTATGATCATAGTTGTCTGCCTAGTACCTTGGTGTTCAATGAATGATTGATGAACAAATGAGGCAAGACCTCAATTAGAGGTGATTATTTTGATGAAACCTCTTTTTACTTCTTTTATACTTTTAAAATTTTGCTAAAAGTGTAATAACATCCATGCAACCAAAGCAGTTTTTTAGTTTTCATTCATGAATAGAGAAAAATAAAGCAGGAAGAAGAGCTCATTTTCATTAAAGGTCTGTAGAGTGTGATTCAGGAGGTAAATTGCTTGGAGTACATCAGTAACTATGACAACAGGCAGACCTGAATACAAACTAGAGCAATATAGCTCTCCAGTGTTGTGTGTGTTCCTCCGTATCATATACTGTATTCCCATTCAGCAGCTAATTTTTGTTCTAAATAATTTTAAGACATGAAGAAATGATAGCATATTCACTCTGCATTGAATATTATGTGCCCAGCAAATTACCTAAGTTTTAAGTCTAACATCTTAGAAGATCTCTAAATTCAGTGTCTTTCTTTGGTGAGTAGGAAAACAAAAGCTTGGATGGCAAGTGATGGCAAAATCTGGTACTGTCTTGAAGCACCATTGACATCAGAAGCCAAGGCCACCTGTGAAATTAGTAGAAAATGAGTAGATTCTTAAGCATTCTAACCTGGTTCAAATTCTAACCAACCTTTGTGACCCTGGTTTAGATATCAGGAAATCTATAATCAAACAATTAACCAGAAAAATTACCAAATGCCTGTTATAAGTCCAGAATTGTGTTCCATGGTTGCAATTACAAATGAGTATGTCATATTTGTACTTTCAAAAAGCCCTCAACATATTTGAAGAGGGGTAGGATATTAGAAACGTGAGTTGAGAGGGGTCAATAGAATTTGAGTACTCAGCGTTTTGATTGGCTGATTTTCAAAAGTAGATTTCCAGGTCTTTCTTCCTCGTCTGTCTTGGTCTGGAACCTCTGCTGAAACCAGTTCAGCATCATATAAGCTTCCATTAACAGAATGGGTGGTGACTGCATTTAAGGAGCACTGTCTTTTAATCAGACCTAGGTCTCCTTCATGGAAGTCAAGAACCACCACTGTCCTCTGAATGGGAAAAAGAAGGTTAGAGACAAGTCTTGAAGAGTGGATAGGATTATAATGGATAATTGAGAGAACAGAGAGTAAAATATTTCAGGAGAGAGAAGTGACACAGTGAAAAATAAAGATATACAGTCCATTCTGTTTCTATTCAGTTCTTCTTGCTAATGATTTTCTTCCTACATCCCTTTCCTCTCCGAATTCCATCCATGATGTAGCTCTGCTACAAAAAATACAAAACAAAACCCTCAGGTCTTCTCCCACCATACACTTTCAATTATACTCTGTATAAAACAGTACTTCCTCCCATCATATATATATACTTGCAAGAAAGGATACCAAGTTCTCCCTGGAAACCTGGAAAATATGTTATTTTAGAGACAACAGCTTTATTAGAGGATAGGTGGTATTGCTAGGTGCTGTTGTGAGCACAATTAAGTGATCTGGAATTCCCATTCTTCTCAATTTATCCACACTTTTTTATTATCCACACAATCAAATGCATTTGCACAGTCTATAAAACACAGGTAAACATATTTCTGGTTTTACTTTCTTTCAGTCAAGATCCATCTGACTTAAACAATGATATCCCTCAGTGCACATCCTTTTCTGAATCCAGATTGAATTTCTGGAACTTCCCTGTCAATATACTGCTGTATCCACTTTTGAATTATCTTCAGCAAAATTTTACTTGTATGCAGTATCAATGATCTTGTTCAATAAGTTCCACATTCTGTGAAATCATCTTTCTTTGGAATGAGCACAAATATTGATTGTTCCAGACAGCTGGCCAAGGAGCTGTCTTCCAAATTTCTTGATATCAATGAGTGCATCCAGTGCTACATCTGCGATTTGAGACATCTCAGTGGGTATTCCAACAATTCCCGAAGCCTTGTTTTTCACCAATTCCCTCAGTGCAGCTTGAACTTCTTTCAGTACCATTGGTTCTTGATCAAAGGCTACCTCTTGAAATAGCTGAAAATCAACCAATTCTTTTTGGTGCAGTAACTGTATTTCTTCCATCTTCTTTTGATGCTTCCTGCATCATTCAATTATTTTGCTCATAGAATCCTATATTGTAACTTGAGGCTTGAACTTTTTCTTCAGTTCTTTCAGATTGAGAAATGTTGAGAATGTTCTTCCCTTTTGGTTTTCTGGCTACAGGTCTTTTCATATTTCATTGTAATACTTTATCTTCTCAAGCCACCCTTTGAAATCGTCTGCTTAACTCTTTTATGTCATCATATCCTCCATTTGCTTTAGCTACTTTCCATTCAAGAGCACATTTCAGAGTCTCTTCTGACACCCATTTTGGTCTTTTCTTCCTTTTATGTCTTTTTAATGACGTTTTGCTTTCTTCATGGATGATGTTCTTGATATTCTACAACTCGTCTGGTCTTCTTCAGTCATTGATGTCCAATGTATCAAATCTATTCTTCAGATAGTCTCTAAATCCGAGTGGGATATAATCAAGGTGATATTTTAGCTCTCACAGACTTGTTATAATTCTCTTCAGCTTCAGCTTGAACTTGCATATGAGCAATAGATGGTCTGTTCCACAGTCAGCTTCTGGCCTTGTTTTGACTGATGATATTGAGCTTCTCCATCACCTCTTCCCACAGATGTAGTTGATCTGATTCCTGTGTATTCCATCTGGCAAGGTCCAGGTGTATAGCCTCCATTTATGTTGTTGAAAAAAAGGTATTTGCAATGAATAAGTCATTGCTCTTACAAAATTCTATCATGTGATGTCCAACGTCATTTCTATCATCAAGGCCTTATTTTCCAACTACCAATCATTCTTTGTTTCCATTTTTCACATTCTAATCACCAGTAATCACCAATACATCTTGATTGTATGTTTGGCCAATTTCAGACTGCAGAAGTTGGTAAAAATCTTCAATTTCTTCATCTTTGGCTTTAGTGGTTGGTGCTGAAATTTGAATAATAATAGAAGACCAGTAGTATTAACTGGTTTTCCTTGTAGGCATATGGATATTTCCTGTCACAGACAACATTGTACTTCAGGATAGATCTTGATACGTTCTTTTTGATGGTGATAGCAATGTTATTCTTCTTCAGTTTGTCATTACTAGCACAGTATATTATGTGATTGTCTGATTAAAAAATTACCAAAACGAGTCCATGTCAGCTCACTAATGCCTAAGATATTAATCTTTATCCTTTCCATTTCATTTTTGACAACTTTCCCTTTCCTAGGTTCATGCTTTTTACATTCCATGTCCTGATTAATGAATAGTTGCAGCTGTTTCTTCCCATTTTGAGTTGTTCCCCATTAGCAAAATAAAGGTCCCAAAATCTATATTCCAACTATGTCATTAAGATTGACTCTACGCTGAGGAGGTAGCTCTTCCCTAGTCATATTTTGACTGCCTTCCAACCTGAGAGTCTGATCTTCCAACACTATATCACACAATGTTTCACTGTTATATATAAGGTTTTCAGAGTTCAATTGTTTTCAGAAGTAGATGGCCTCATCCTTCTTCCTAGTCTGCCTTAGTCTGGAAACTCTGCTGAAAACTGTCCACCATGGGTTATCCTGTTAATATTTGAAATACTGGTGGCATAGCCTCCAGCCTCATAGTAACACATAAGACAACACAGTATGACAAACTGACCAATGAGTGGTAGAGAGGATGTGCACTGGATAGTAAGTGACAGTAAATGAAGAGAGATGCTCATGATATCCTGGACTGTATCATAGTGCCTAAATGTTTGCATGCTTTTACTTTTCCAGAGGAACTGGGGGCTGGAGGAGGGCAGGAAAAAGCAGAATGAATGGAGTCATGAGGTTTGACCCCTAATGAGGAGTGTGACTGCACCTTAACTACAGTCATTATCTTGATTTCTCATTTCTTGGCTTCCTCATATGGATTTCCTCTTTTCTCTCTCTTTTCTATTTTTAATACTTTGACTTACAAAATCCTCCTACCTTTTTAAAGTTTAACATACCCACTACATCAAATAATTTCTGTGGATACTTCACCCTCAGTGAGATACAACATACCCTGTAAGTGTCAACTGAGCATAATGACTTCTTTTCAAAGAGTACAGTATGGAAAGAGGGGTGAAGGAGACTAATTTTATGGTGCAGAAAAAAGAGAAACACTACTTGAGTCAGGTGATCATGGTCCATATCAACAGTAATAAATCATGTTGACATGATATGATGTGATGAAAATAGTACTTTACTTGTGTGGTCTTCCTAACAAAAACCTATAACCCCAGATTGATATGAAAAAATCATCATCAAATAAATCTCGTATAGAGGGGCATTCTACAAATACCTGACCAGTACTTTCCAAAACAGGAGCTCTGGTGGCATAGTGCCTAA